AATGATAGGTATAATAAAACTAAAAGATTAATTAATATTTCGTTAACATTTTAGACATTTATTTGAAGCAATCTTCATACAAATTTCAATTTTAATACGTAGCTACTTTTTAATTGATGCTTACAATCGTAAACACGTCTTAAGGTTAAAAGTTATCACTTATCAGACTTAAATAAATTTTGTTCACATGTATGTTGATTGTATACTATATTTTAGTTTATAATAAACGAGTTGTGAGCATTTTTTAATTCGAACATTTGTTATATTATTTGTTAATGATCGTTACTAGCTTAAAAAATTAACTGTTTAAATATTGTAAAAAACATCTTATAACACAGATAATATTTATATCATTCAGTTTAATAATATATGTATAGGTCAATTCTTATATTGTTAAAGCTAAGAACACTAAATTGATGTTGAAAAAATGTGTTAAATTGTACGTTAGTAATAGCATTGGTTATGAATACTGAATAGTATAGTTATTCATATTAAACTTTTTCATAATCAATGGTAATACCTATGTACGGAGAAAACACATTCGTGTATGAAGTGTTGTATACCATTCTAGTAGATACCTCGTGAATTTTTTTCATAATTTGTACTATATATTCACACTGTATTTACACACATACGTTGCATTAAAATATATTGAAAATATTTACTTGTATGTACTTAATTTTCTTTAGTTCCGTTTAAAAATGAAACATTTATAATATTTACTCGCCTTTATATACGAAAAATAATTTATGCCTAAATTAAACTAAATAAAGTGTACTTCTAAATATTAAAAACAAACACACACACGATGTCAAATTGTTATTTCCATCTTCATTTCCCCGTTTTATAAAAGACGTACCTATCTCATTAATAATTATTACTCATAACTTTTTTTTCTTTTACAGGAAGTGCAAAAAAAAAATGGTTTCTGTTTCATTAAATGAAAAAAATATTAGTTATACTTGCATATATATTTTATTGTGCCTACATCATAATAATATAATACTAAGTATTCCCCTTCAAAATTAAAAAGTAATTTAGTTGGTCCAAATGCATTATTAGTATTCAACTAATGAGAAACCTATTTACATAGTTACATTTAAGTACCCATTTATAAGCTATGACGATAATATCTCTCCTTTATCCATGCGCCCTTTCAATTAATACATTTTATTTTCAGATAATCACTTCGACCAAAAACTGAATCTCGACTAGAACTTATACCGAAAAAAAACCCATTACATTAATAATATATTATCGGGCCATAAAATGTTTAATATATTATACCATTCACACGATAACCAAGTGTCGTCTTGAACATTAATTTTATTCTGTTCCCGGGGTTTCATATATAATGGGTAGCGGTGCCTCCATCGTAAAAGTGACCGTAGCTATGAATTATAATATTTAATGCTCTATACGGTGTCAATATAGTAAACCTTTTAAGTAATCAACAGATTTTGTTTTTTTTTAAATATTTTAAACTGAATGTGGCACTACTCGCTTTCAATAGATACTGCAGAGTGGGCTGGGTAGGTATCAATATAAAATTATATCAGGTTTTATATTATACAAATTAAATTTATTTTATTTTCCTTACTTATCGATGACCCGGTTGTCAGGGAGCATATATTTTAACGAGGCAAATACTCACATTATGGGACCGTATATTTGCCGGAAAATAATTGTCCGGAATATATTGAAAAAAAAAGAAACCTAACCTATTTAAAAAGTATAATTTAATAATGGAATGGTATTATTCAGGTACAAAATGTTTTTTTTAATTATATTTTTAAAAACAGTATTGACTTGGGAATTTACAGAATAATTACCCCGAACCGTATTTTTCATAAACAGTGTAATTTATTCGAAAGTATTGATAAGGATAGTATAAACCGAAGTACAATTTTTTAATTTAGATATTTTTATGCAGGTGCAGGATTCGTATTAAAGTAAAATCATATTAATTTTTATAATAAAGGGCACAAGACTCGATAGAATAGATCAGATATTTGTACATAGGAAATTAAGATGGATATTGTAATAGACAGCAAGATATTGTAATGGGAAAAAACGAACCACAATTATAATAGTACCTATATTAAAATATGTTGAAATAGGAAATTAAAAACACGGTCGTATAAATCCCGTAAAAGCATGGTATAAATATTGTCCCAAATCATTCACAGGAATTTCATTTAACACGGAATTTGATTTAATCCAAAATACATTATATGGCACTTAACGCACCGTGTTCAGTAGATGACACACCGAGACAAGTCCACACTTTATTATTATAAAATAACGGAACGGAAACTGAGTTGTTTTGAACGTTATTTGCATGTTTAGTGTTGGACGCCGATTATAATAATATTATTCAATGCGATGGGACTCCGTGCATACTAAATACTAAATAAAATAAATAATGATATGCACTCGTATATTATAATATTTCAAATATGGCCCTATACAAAATGAATACTTATAATGTACTATATAATGGGGATCTATGTGTATACCAACGTGTTTTTTTTCTGAAATTGTTATGTATATATATAATTTTAATTGTATTATATAATAACAAAATTATAAAAATTTAAATTTAATACATCGAACCAATAATTTTAATTAAAAAAAAAGGTGGATAAGTGGGTGTCACTCTGCTGTACAGTAGGTTACAAGTGGGTAACTGTATAATGGATGATATTAAATTTGAATTCAAAGATATAATATCATTGTATAAGAAAAACGATTCTGAGCGGAGACGGCATGTCAGTCTAGATTTAAGACAAATTATATACATACCTATGGTATTAAAAAAAAATTGACCTATAATAAATTCCAAATTAATCATATCACATTATCACAATATCCATTAGGTACTTATAACACGTTATATATCAACATCAATAACAAACCCTGATACTATCATAATAGATATATAATAGTACACTTTAGAAGTTTCAAGTCGGTACCCACGAATAATATTATATAATCACAACAAAATAACTAGGTTTTTTATTATGTAATTTCGTCCAAATTTGAACACAAAATGACTATAAAAATCAACTGTGCTTATGTATTTTTTAGATTTTTTGGTAACAGAATTAACTGCTTCATGGAATCTTGTTTTAAATTTTCAATCCTTAGCTATAAAAACTGAACATTTTATAATTTATTAATTACGATGATTGATAATTTTCGAGATTTTGATAAATTTTGTCAAAATGCGATCTTTAAATGCTTATAAAAAAAAATTGTGCCATGTATTTTTAATATTTTTCAATTGCTATGGTAACAATATATCAGGAGCCTTGTATTAATTTTTTACACTTTTTGGCCCAACAGATAAAACTTTATTGATATTTATTTTTGAAAAATGAAAATGTCCGTAAACAGCTCAAAAAGAGTCAAAATATTTTCAAAATTATATGGTGTATAAGAAATGCTAAAATAAACATTCAGTTAAATTTTCATGTATCTACAGTTATTCGTTTTTGAATTACAACAAAATAAGGAAAACGCCACATGAGAAATCGAGTGAAAATCCAATGTTGTAAAAATTTGAATTTCAAACGCTCAAAAAAATTTAATTTGACTTTCTTATAGAATTTTTTTTTTGATAAATGTAGGAAATCTTATATTACATTTTCATATCTTAGATTTAAAAAGAAAAATTTTTATGAATTTCTAACTCGAAATAATTTGCAAATTTTCGTGATTTTTCCATATTTTGTCATTTTTTGAATTTTAAATGCTTATAAAAAAAAACTGTGACTAACGATTTTTAATATTTTTCATTTGTCTTTGAAACAATATAGTAGGAGCCTTGTATTAAATTTTCAAGTATTTTTACTCAACAAATAAATTTTTGTTGATATTCATAAAAATAAAACTAATAAAATTGGAAACTGAAAATGTCCCTAAACAGTTAAAAATAAATCAAAATATTTTGAAAATGTTATCGTGTATAGAAAATGCAAATATAAACAACCACTGAAAAGTTCATGTGTCTACGGCCAATTGTTTTAAAGTTACACCAAAAACCAAAATCGATTTTCTCGAAAACAGTTTTTGCATAAAAATTCCTGTTTTTCCTTAATTTTTCTTTTGTTTTTCCCCTCGCTTTTGAAAACTACTGGGAAATTTAAGTGTTGACCTCCTCAATGCACCAACTCCAACTATATTCACTTTCCAATCGAATAAGATACTGAAGTTGAAAATCGAAGCATTATTTCGACTACTTATCGTGTACACAGACACAAAAAATAAATTAAAAATTAAAAACACACATCATTGTAAAATCAACACATTCATCGTTCCACTCAGAATCTAAAATAAAATAAAACTAAATTACGAAACATTAATTTAAAAAAGTTTAACTTGTGTTTGGTATTAATCGGATTTATTTTTTTATTTTTTTTACAGATGAGAAGAATATTTAGTTACGGGTATTTACTTTTCTGATTTACCAAACGTTTAACGTAATACGTATAACCTACCAATTATATTTTCCATTTAAACGTGTCCAGTTAAATCAGATATAATTTTTTTCGATATTCAAATTTCATATACTTTCATAGAAATAGATACTAATATTATCTGTATAATTTATTTTTTCACACTATTTCTTGAACGGTCGTTTACTGTATTATCACTTCAGGGTTATCCGAGAGTACGACGACGTTGAGCCATCGGTAAAATGTATCAATAATATTCAATAATAACCCCACCCGTCGCCAGATGCTGTGCAGTTGTGTAAAAACCGTTTACAACGTGCCATCTGACATCGTCTACTGCAGTATACACAACACATGTATATAATAAGGGTGTACAATTACAAAATACCGGCAGCCATACAACCATACAACCTGCAGCTGTGAGTCTTGACCTCAGTTCATTCGCCGATCAACGCACGTGCGTGTGTTATTGTTCAGACATCCACAGCGGTATCATAATATATTAATCAGGTACCTACACGATATTATAATTATATCGAAATGATGGAAAATAGCGATGAGAGTTCGGACAGTGATCCGCCCGTGTCCGAAGAAAGTTCAGAAGATGGGTATTCAAATGATGAGCTTGAGTATCGTTATTATATCAATCCAATAATGCGTTACGTCCCTGAAAACATGCGAACAGATGTTCGAAGGCTGTGTAAAGACACAGGTAAGGTACCTAGATTATAATTAATATAATAATATATGTTTTTGATAAAATAAAGAGTTTTCAATTAAGATGCCTCGCTACCACTGTCGATTTTAGTTCAAAGGCCAAAAGTTTTGATAAAATTAATAAATAAAGATTTGAATTCCGTAGGAAAATGTTCATAAAGCGTTCAAAACACTGAAAAATGCAATCTCATTTAATTTTGACTGTAATTTATTAAAAACTTTGAAATACGTGTCTTATCAAATAATTATTGTAATTAAACCAATAAAAGAAAATATTCAGTATGACCTAAAGACATTTTTCTGTAGAATTCAAATCTTTTTTCAGATTTAAAATTAGAGAATCAGACTATACGTAAAGTACATTTATTTTATTTTATCAAAACAATAAGTAAATTGTTTTAATTTTTATGGTAAATTGAATATTGTTATGGAGTTGTTATTTACGTAAATAATAACAAGCCATAAATCCACACTATCTATAGTATATACAACTGTTCACTTAATATTATAATATGGAGCTTACCTCAGTATACATTACAATAATAAAATATGCAATAAAAATTATGGAAATAATATATTATTTAAGGAAAAAAACAGTTAGTACTATAATAAATTAATAATGGAATAATGTTGTATTATTTTTATTGTTATAGCACGGTTATACTCAAATGCAGAAACTATTAAAAGGACTGCTCTTCATTACAGAATAGTTGAAGACGAAGAAAAAACCTGTATGCAAAAAGATTGCAATAAATTGACTTTTGGAAAATGCGGCACATGTCATGTTTTTTTATGTATAGATTCTGAAAATGATTGTTTTTCAAAGTTTCATGAAAGGAAAAAAAAAATGTGAATTTTATGAATCGAATTTATCAATAAAATATAAAAATGTATTTGTATGAAGTTTTTTTCCACGAATTTAGATCATATTTTCTTATATTGTAGGTAGTAATCTAACGTAGTAAATATGCATAAATATACTTTAAGCTCATCATGCTCAGTCTTTCACGGATATGAAAAACTATGTTTCTGTTAGATTATTACCTACGAGTCAAAATTAAAAAAAAAAAAAAAAAAAAAAAACACGAAAGACCATCATTAAGTATAATTATAAATTAATATATACCTATTACCTATATATTGTAAAACAAAAAATATTCCAAGAGGAGACGGTGTGACCTGATATTAGTGTGCCAGCCTATATTTTTAAGGATAATTTATATTTGATTCACATAATATTACTATAAGTAATTTATTTTTCTATGTAGTATAGCTATAGCAATACAGTTGTAATATTTGTGTAGTTTTTGGCGAAAACATCACATAATATATATTATATAATATTATTTTATTAATAAAAGTGAAAAGCACGGTTGTCACATGAAGGAATCAGAAGTAATACCGATGGTGGCCCATAATTTTTAGAGGTTACCATTATCAGAAGTAGAATACTATCAAAATCGGCTATACAATAGAGTACATGGACTTATATATTGTAATATATTATCGAGCAGCACTAAACCATTCATATTATACAATATCGCTTATTAGGTGTTGGTTTTACAACGTTTTATGATTTCTATTTCGTCATCGGCTCATTGCCATTGAATTTCTATAAGATTTATGAATACCTAACCTAGTTACTATATTTAAGAAATCGGTGGGTAACGTGGGTATGCGATGGGTTGTATTAGGTACCCGTGACTTAGCCTCCAATAGCCGTAACTACTACTTGTCTTATAATACCGTAGAGACGAGGCCTAATTTTAGGCGGAAAAGCGAACCGCGTTCAAAACATATCAAGTGCCAACCTGCACCAAGGCCGTCATGCAGAGTACAGGTGCCTACAACTAGGGACGGGCTGTCCCGGATTGCCAACAGGCACCGGTCTGACCGTCCTCTATATGTATTGAAGTTTTGTGGTCTTTCAACCTGTCTTTGAATTCCCGATGTCGTCGGTACAGGTAAGTATCCATAACACGGGCCACTGGTGACATTAAATTTTATTGTCACGGGATAACCGTCAACCGAAAAACCATACAAAATAATGTAGTAAGTAACAATAATAATATAGGTAATTATTTCAACAATGTAAAACTGGAAAATATTTAGGACATATTTTTAGGACAGGTTAACATTTTCAAGCGGCCCCATACACGATCCAATATTCGATGATGTTGGCAATATTATTGACCGTGTACTGGTTATACTGAAGGTACTTCGATTATATTGAAAACATCAAAACCGTTTTGAAATTAAATTTATATAGTACATTTTATTGATATCAATAATAATAATCATGTATAGACACACTGCCTTATGTAAGGCATCTTTTTTTAAGTTCATTTCTTGAATGTCAGCGGAAACGGATCGAAGAAACACTAAAAAACAAGTGAAGATATGAAACATATAGTTCATGGAGTTTATCAAGTTATTATTAATTTGAATCAACGTACAAAAACATCATTAGTCGATAGAGCCCGATTAAGACCTATTAACAAATGATTATTTTGTTGTTGAAAATTAATTATATTTATAGTTATAAGGCTTATAAATTAAATTAAAAGTTCCTCGTAAATAGTGAAGTTCATATTATAACCGAAAAATATAAAAACACTGTTTTTTATTACAGCAATTCTACGATAGTTGTGTGCAAATCGAACTTAAGTTTATGAAATTGACATATTATTACCTTTGTATATTTGATACATTTAATGAGTTGGAACCCCTATAATTGTTTCATACTTAGTGTCATATTTTAAATTACCTACATCAAAATAATATGAATGTATGGATAACTTTTCTTGAAATCTAAATAAAAACATGGTATTATCTTATTATACGTCTTTTACATGTAAAAAGTAAAATGTAGTACCTATTAGTTTTATTTACGCAAATCTCAAAAAAGTTATAATTATTATTAAATGATATACGCGTTTCGGAACTTCAAATATTTGTTGTTTTTGATAATTACATGGATAAATACACTATTCTGTGTAAGTTATAAGTTATAAGTTATATTATGTTACTTATTTTAAATATCGTATAGGTATTCGTATAACTGGACCTATATATTCATACCGCATTATACGGTAATTACAAATGATGGTCTACATCGACTTACAACTTATCTACTATTAAATAATATGTGCGATAATTAGGACTACAAAATAAATCAATAACACATGATAGTACTCTAAATATACTCGTACCTATTATATTATAAAATATTATTATAATATATTATTTATAGGCTGACACTCAATCTCGGCGAACGTACAATTAGTGAATATAAGACGTTAGAAGTGTTATGACAAATACTGTCAGACTTAAGCACATACTTATCAGGAGCTTTAATACATCTTCAACGAATTATTTCTCACTTCTCTATTGGTTACAGTTCCCAAAACACACTGCGGCGGTGGCGTTAAATTCTATTGTCTTGGCTTTACCACTGTGGTTAGTGGTGAAATAGCAATTCACAGCCACCACTGCAGTATGTGGGGGGACCTTTACTCCGGATATAAATGCATAAAAAAACGTTTGTCATTTCTCTCTATTTAACCCGATGTTAATATGGGGAAATGAACTAGAGACATTTGATTGTTTTTTTTCGACAGTCTACACAGGTTAAAAGCTTTTTTAAATACAATAATAATAAAGAACCAATAATACTATTTTTTAATACCTATCATTAATAGTGTATTGTTTTATTTGTATCCATGTAATTAGTAATGTATCTTAATTAGTTTCTCTACTATCTATAACTATATTTTCATTTTAATTCTATTGTGCAGGATAATATCATATTAGTTCATAAATAATACAAATTACAATATAATCTCTATAAGTACTTATAATATGTACCAACTTAAATACATTTTTAAATTAAAATATGAAGGTACGGTGTAATAGTAATAATCATAGTTAATTATTTTTAATCACTCTTTCTCTCACAAATAAATGCTGTAGTTTATACCTGTAGATTATAGATTATAATACTATGAATCCCAAATGAGTACTTTCATAATATTATTTTGTACCGGTGTAGGTATAACTAAGTTATTAAGGCTGACGAGGTCACGGTCCTCATGATTTAATTATTTAAATGTTGAATAACCGCTTTACAAATTATATAGATTTAAGTTATACTAACTACTTAATTTTGACAAACTTATTAGTTTATTATTTATTTTAACTTTCTATGCTATTAAAAAATACCCATTTATAATTGAAATACTATATTGTATTATAGATAATAATATTATACAAACGAGCGAGCGCACGTATACTGGAGATATATAAGAAAACAATTAATAAAAAAATTCTTAGAGCTACAATAGAATAGTTTCTAGATAAGAAAATAATAATTAATTGTAAAATACTCGGTAAAACATAAATTGATATTTTTAATAGATTTAATGTAGAAGAAAATAGCCAATTTATGTTCATGTGGAAGTACCTACCATGTGAGAGTGTGGGTAAGTACTATCATTTAGTTTAATATTATTATAATATACTCTATGGTACTATGTAGTAAACGCTACTATTAAAACACTACTATTAAAACACTACTATTAAATTACTTTCCAGAACTATATTCTCATTACTCATTAGTCATTAGTGATTCATGGAAATATCGGAACACTCATACGCACACGCACAAGCAATCTTACATGATTATAATGTACTCTGACACAATGACACAGTTTAAACTTTAAAGACTAAAAAAGGTTCAAAAGCAGAAGACAAATAATATATTCAGTCCGACCGTCAGCAGAAAAATTGAAATTAATTTTGAAAACATAATTTGATGACGTAGGTACTTATTTGAATTCTGCATTATCGTTAGTAGGTTTTAGAGCTAATTGAATTTTACTATTTTTTTTGGTGTAGGTAACTAAAAATGTGGTCCCTAAAAAACTAGAGATTTACAAATTAAAATCTTTTTTCAAAATTAAAAATTGGTCCATCATACTCTACCTCTATTAGTCAAAATGCTCGAAAAAAAAATTGCTCTAGACAGCCCTTAAATTTTGGAAAATATTATTCTTTATATATTCATCAGTCATTAGTCATCACTCATCAAGAATACAAACAAATAACAATGAAAACAACTCATAGGATATTGAAATTATTATTATACACTTTATTTGGTTTTACCGTCTAGAAATATAATATGGTCTATACGCTATGATGTATTGGTGTGTCGCGTGTCGTGTATTCATGTGTAAATAGACGTTCCAATAAAATTGTCAGTTGTTCATTTGTAATTTTCCTATTAATATTATCATTGCTATTATATACCAATAACGTTTAAGAAGACGTCGCACCCGTTTTACTCACAAAATACTTACAACATGGCAAAAACTGTTTTGGAGTGGGAAAGAACCTAGAAAGCTACAACCATAACTAAGAAACAACATTTTCACCGCATTAAAAAAAGGACTGAGTTTCGGTTGCGCAATCAATATTTTTTAGATAACAGTTATACGAAAAATGTCTTATTGTTTCAAAATTCATTACTATTTGTGTTTTTCATACTTTAATAACTTTTTTTAAAGTTCCAATATCGAAAAAATTAAAATGATATTGTACAGCCAAAGGTCTTCCCCTTTTTATGTGGTGAAAATTTCGTTTCTTAGTCGTTACATGTCGCCTACTCAGTTCTTTCCCGCTTCAAAACAGTTTTTGATGTGCCGTATGTGTGTAAGACGGAGACAAAATAATTGGGTGCGATAATTATATTTAATTCAATATTCTACTTTTTCGTAACTCAATCTAAGTAGATAACCGTACGAATGTATTTTGATGTGTGCTGACTAAATATTACAATAGTTCAAATATTATGCT